GGCAAAGGGGAGGCGCGGAGCTCCAGCCGCCGCTCCCGGGGCTCCGGCTCGGCTCGGCTCGGCTGCACGCCCACCTCCATCCTGTCTCCATGGCTGACACCACTGTCTGCCTGCCACGAGGTGCTTCTCCTGCGTCCAGCAGCCCTCCATGGCTCGCCGCCCTGGTTTCCCTGCCCTAGCGCCTATAGCTGGGTTTAAGTCCTAAAAACAATTGATTGCAAATCCCAGCGATTGCTAGGAGGGACAGAGGGCTTTAGACAGTGTTTTCTTGTTTGTGCCAGAAACAGGAGGGTTCACACGGACTGAGCATTGCTGCACTGCCCTGTGCATCCCGGGGGGTACCCCCAAGGCACGGGCTGCCTGCAGCCCCCAAAAGCTTCCCAGGGCCATCTTCGCTCAGGGAACACCCAGTGCAGCAGAGAAGGCTGACAGCTTTGCCCTGCCTTTGTTCCGAGGGTGCAGCCTCTGGTTTAGAACAGTTGGTGGAGGACATTTCCTCTCCTAGGCTGCTTTTGAAGTTGTGTCATTACTTCTTCTTAATGAAACATGCAAATCGTGTAGATGCTGTGATTGCATCTCAGGGAACTCAGTTTTGACACAGCTCTGGTTGTAAATATTTAACTGGCATGTAATTTAGGGCACATCCATCCTCATTACTTTTTTCCTCACCATTTCTTATTGCTCAGAATATATTGTCCTAGTGCTGGACTGCTGGGAAGCCTGTTCTGTTGCAGTCTTTTTTGGCAGTCCTGGGGAAGAGACTGAGTTTTATGAAACAGGGAACCTGAAGATCATGGCAGAGGTGTGGCATGGCCTGGTTGGATGATTGCTGTGGGAGGCCTTCCATAAGCCATGAAGAAACCTCTTAGTTTGGCCATGGTTCCCTTCAGTGATGATGAATTCATGCATATGCTGAGGTCACCTTTCACTGCAGTTCTGAAGGCTTTACTTACACAGGAGAAATACTTTCTGTCTCCAAAATAACAGAAAACTATTCAGTATCAGCATTACACTGAAGAAATGAAATCTCATGATAGCAGTATTTCATGGCCTTATTTTTAAGTGTAATGCTCGCTGCTTCAGGTTTACATCCCAATAGCAAATTTCACTTCCATGTTCAACCTTTTCAGTGTGCACAAAAACAAGACCCTCAGTAAAATAACCAGACCCCACACTGCAAGGGGGGTAAATACACTTTTGTCCACACACTTTACTGCACCCTAAGAGGCCTAAGAAACACAGACCCTGTTGGATGCAGCAGCATCAGAGCACTAAAAAGATTTCAAAATATTTCAAATTGCCTATCTTAAAATTGTTTCTCATGCTCTGGTGGCTGAGCCAGCTAATGTACAGTCAGCATTTTTGGGCCAGCACCCAGATACATGATGACAGCCACTGCTGCACTTAGTGGCATTTCAGAGGTTCACTTGAGCTGGCTGAGGAGTTTGCTCATGCTCAGGGACATTGGCAGGGGGATCTGAGCACCAGTCTTCCCATCTTTTCATAAAACATGGGCTGCAGAGCCCAAAGAGAAGGCACTTCAATGACTGTGGTTCATCAGCTCAGTACCCCTAATGATGGGACCCCTCCAGAGCACAAGGCAAATCTCCAAGGATCCCCTGGAGCTTTGGGACTTCCAGCCTTGAGGCTTCTCACCCTGGGGCTTTCTTTGCCTAAGCCCATGTGCATCTATTAACCAATCACAGATATCTGGAAGGAATCACTAGTATAATTATTCTGCACACTGTGACAAAATTTTTTAGGTTTTTATTTAAAAAAAAAATCAAACCCCAACAAGAAACGAGTATTTGCCAAACCCAGCTGTGCAAGTCAGGCAGCTTTCCAAGCATGCACCGGCATAAAGGTTAAGCACTCAGTAATTCAAGTGTCTTCCACTTACAGTAATAAAACTTCTCATGATTTATCCAGGAGCAGCTGCTGCCCTTGCTTAGCAAATGTAACTGCCCTGTAAAATTATTTTCTATTCATAAGACTTGGAGAGAATTATGTTTTTATGTTAACATAACTCGGAGCTGATGACTTCTGTCTCCAGCTTTTCCTGCTGCTTTAATTATAACAGTGCTTTAACACTTGCAGCAGAAAACTGCTGAAAATGCATTTCTTGTATTGCAAATGATGCAAAAAAAATAAAAATGCCTTTGGCAGATGTTTGATGCCACAGATGTTCAGTCCCACAAAGGTTAACCAAAGTACACCTTTAAAAGGGGGTGAGGATAACAGAAAAGAATGGTTTACAGTTGTATCTTTTTGAGGATACCTGAGATATGAACAGAGCCCTGGTTTATGTCTGATTTCGGCTCTGCTGGTGTGTTTGCAGTCAGTGCCATGGAGTCACTCCTACAGCACATACAGCTGAGTGACGTTAGCTCTTTTACCCTAGATCACAGCTTTTATAAAAGCTCCCTTTTTAATGGGCAAGAAGCGAACAAAACAGTCCAGCCCACGCACCTGAGGATGAGCAGCGTGTCCCAGAGACGCCTTGGGCGCTGCTGCTTGCTGTCCCTGCTGCTGTCCTCAATACTGAGCTCTATTACCACTACCCTGTTACCTCTGCAGAGACATCAAGAGCCCTTTGACTTTCAATACCAATTACTTCAGGCAAGTTAGGCACCTATTTGACGATCTGAGGTGCTTATCTACTGACTGAATAGCAGATATTCAGCCCCTCTACAGCTCATCTCTACAGCTCTAGCCACCCCAGCAAACGTTTCTCTCTGTTTTTAAATTAAATGTAGGAAGCAAGCAGCACCCGGAGAAGCCAGCCCACTCAGTAAAGTGTCACATACAAATAGGGAATGACCATAAAATACCCCTCTTTTTTTCTTATTCTTTTTCACCCAATATGTAGAAATAGAGGTCAGTGGAAGCCAGAGGGCATTTACCCAGTTATGAGCAGCCTGTGCAAGATGTGATTTAGCTGATGCTATTAGGCTGGGAGAGAGGCAGAAGGCTCTCTTCTAGGAAATGCTCTGTGTGAATGGCTCTGTGCTCAGATGCAGCATTCACAGGCCCGGGTGCCGGCAGGGTTCTGTTTGTTTGCTTGTTTTAAACAACAGAGTTCAAATGTGTTCACACCGGAGCAGCTTTGGTGGGTACATGCAGCAAAAGGAGCACTGGGGCTTGCAGGGAAGCACACCCCAAACCACAGCCTGCATTTTGCAACACCATCTCAGCAGGCTCAGGGACCGGTTGTTTTGCCCCTTTGTCTCGAACCACATTTTCAAGTCTTTGGCTCTCAGTGGCCAATCCATCTCCCTGGAGTGTGCAGCTCCCTGCCCAGGAGAAGCAGCAACCGCCCTTACAAAGACCTCAGATGGTCTTTTAATTTGGCAGTGATTTAATTGCAGCTCTTGCTCCAGGACAGTATCAAAGACAGCTCAAGAGTCCTGACTACAAAGAGCTTTGGAGCAGGCGTTCTGACAGCAAACTGTTCTCACCATTGTTCAGGCTCCCCCTTTCCAAAGGCAATGACTTGGCTCCACCAGGACGGGCAGGAAGCCTCCAGCTTCTCAAAAACTGGGTAATGAGATTAGGGGAGCAGCTCAGGAGGCTTTTGCTCTGCTCTGTGGAAGAGACCTCTGCTCTCTAAGAACCTCGTGTGCCTCCTCGGGGCCTTCTGATTAACAGCATCTCTGAGGGGAGGGCTGCAGCCCATCTGGTGGGAAGCCTGGAATACTCCAGTTGAAAAACTAGAGAGGGACGAACTATGAATTCAAGAGGCATACACATAATTTTAACCCTTCCTTGGGTATTAAAAGCTGGATGGGGCTTTGAGCAACCTGGTCTAGTGGAAGGTGTCCCTGTCCATGGTAGGGGGGCTGCAACTAGATCACCTTTTAATGTCCCTTCCAGCCCAAACCATTCTATGATTGTATGAAAGGAAAAAAACTTGCATGTTACCATTTCACAGTGGCTCTGCAAACAAGAGAAAAAAATAACACACTGCGTATTTGCTCTGAGCAAATATACAGATTGTAATATTTAATAATGTGTTTACTCCAAGCTGTTTATAAAGTCAGAAATAATTTTCGCTCAGAAAATACGTGTGTGGCATTTAGTCCTGTAAAGACTTAAGCTAGGGTATGTCTCCTTTCAAAGAAGAGAGGACACTCCTTTGCAGCTTTCCTTCCTCCCTGCAGAGAAGACAGTCCAATAATGGAACATAGTCCTAGAGGGGCATCAAAATCTGTCCTTGCTTATGCAGTAGCAGTGAACGAGGGAGGAGTGGGAAGGAGGAAAAACACATGCAAATCCCTAGAGTTTAAAAGTAAATTTAGAAGACAGATGAGGACTCCAGGGCTTGTCAAACTGAAGGTTGCCACCCCTACATCAACACTGCCAATTCCCTTGAAAAGAGCAGCCTTATGGCTCCTGCAAATATTTATGCAGAGATTTATTAACTGCAGTTACATGAACAACATGAACTTCAGGATTCATCTCCTTGAGATATTTATTTTCATTAAAAACAAACTGTTTGGGAAACACAATACGTATTTCCCTCTACACTTCCATCCATCTGGTTTCAGAGGAGCAATTCTATGGAATACAAACAGTCTTAGGCACCACACAAAGTACTAGACAATGTTTAAACCTCACACCCAGCAATACAGCCTTTACTCCAGTAAAGCAGAGTAGGAGCAAGTTCACATTCAGGAAAAACATAACTGAGATACACAGAGGCTTCCAAGAAGGACTTAGATGGGAATTAGCTCGGGTTTAAAAGTTAGAGAAGTAAAAAAAGCAAGTACACAAATCGAAGTACACAGTCCTTCACAGTTATCTCAGTGGTGAGGGGACTGGTGGTTCAAGAAAATCAGCTGCACAGAACAGCCGCTCCCTAGGTGGAGAGTGCCAAAACATGCAGTTTCAGCATCTGAAGGGGGAGAGTTACTCTACCAGGATCGTATCAACGCTTTCTTGGATGAGATCTGGCTCCAGTATACATTCATCTAAGTGGCCTTGGGACAAGCTGGAGCTCTTGCCCACACTCTCGCTGTCACAGTAAGGGTGAAACCTGGGGGTGGCGGGGCTCTCCAGCCGCTGGCAGCGGCTGTACTTGTGCTGCTTCCCTCTGTGCGTGTACATGTGCTCCAGCAGCTGGCTCTTCCGGAAAAACGTGCGGCCGCAGACGGTGCAGCTGATCTTTCTCTTTCTTGAGAAAGAAAAGTTACAGTTCAACTCCACCGGTTCGTGGTCCTTGGAGATGAGGGAGAGCTGCCCGATCTGCAGAGGCTCCAGGTCACTGCAACTCGGATGCTCCAGCTGATGCTCGTCCTCCTTGAGGAGGAAGGCCCCGAGGCGATGGCCATCCCCAGGCTCCCTGTCCTCAGCCAGAGGCTGCACCTCCCCCAGGTCGCTGCTCTCCAGGATGGAGGCTGGGACGCCGAAGGGCAGCGAGCCCGAGACGTGGCCGTGCAGGTGCTGCCGCAGCCCCTCCCGCGAGTCGAAGCGCTCCCCGCAGTAGTGGCACAAGTGCACCTTGAGGCTGCCCTTGGCAAAGACGGGGCTCGCTACCTCCGGAGAAGGAGGGGTGCAGCTCTGGGACACCACGGGCTCCGAGTCGCACCTCTCCTGCTTTATGGAAACAGAGAGCTTCGGGTGCTCCTCCACCGGCTTGGCGAGAGCTGCGGGCTGGGCCGAGGGGCGAGCGACCTGCTGCTCCAGGGGGCCGTCGTCCAGGCCGATGGCCAGGGACAGCTGCAGCTGGGGGTGATCGCCCTGGGCCGCGGACCTGCCGCCCGCCTTGGGCAGGCTTTCCTTCGCTCCCAGGCGCTCCTTCGCCAGCTTGTGTGCTGTAGAGATCTGGATCCCGTATAGGTTGGAGGACTGGACCGGCTCTGGGGAGAAGGCCTGGTTCATCTCGATGGCGATGTGGGAGAGGTGGTCTGCGTGCAGAAAGCGGATGCCCTCCTCCAGTCGGCTCTGGCTGACAGTCTGCTTTGGCCCTTTCCCAGTGTACATGATGTGTAACAAGTAACTAAATATATCAGGCTGGATGTCTGTAGGCTGAATTTTTATGCACTCGCTGAAACAAAACAGATGATTAAGTACATACAGGGATCCAAATCCCGATCCATTACCTGCCCATTTGCTGTGAGAGCGCTTTTACAAGCAGCACTCCCTGCCAAGCCCTGCAGAAGTGCAGAAGCTCTGTTTGCAAAGCCAAGTGCCCGAGTCTGCGTTTATCCCTGTGATTCTGAAGACCATGTGCACAACTGCAGCTAAGGCTGGTGGAGGTGACCAGCCCTGGCCACCCCATCCCTCCCATGCAGAGCCAGCTGCAGCTGCAGGCACCGCAGCGATGCCATGCAAGCTGTGCATCACCAGTGTGTGCCATTCCATTTATTTGAGTAGTGAGTTCAGCTGCCAGTACTATGTAATCTTTATGAGTATTGCACTTAAGTGTCAGCAAACAACATCCACAGGGAAGGGCAGTTATCTCACTTCCAGACAAGGGGCGACGCAGCTGATCCTAAAGATTATCTCGCAGAGATGCTGGAGGCCACGATCCTCAGAAACGAAGGGGAATGAAGAAGGGTTTAATACATTACAAGCAGCCAGCCCCAGGTCAGAGGCCAGACCTTGGCACTGCTGTTGTTATACCTGCAGAACCACTCCTGACCTGGCCAGGTGAAGCATGTGAACAACAGCTTGAAATGAATTGATGATCTCAGTCTCGGCTCTTATCTCCAAGAGTCTGAAGCACAGAACTGTGATAAGGCCACAGCTTCTGGATTGTTTCAAGCCTGTGGATCCTGCCAGAAAGGACAGTCTCACCCAGCAAGCTTGACTACAACCTAAAGCAAAGTACTGGACATATTGCACATGGGCAAGGAGGTACCAGGATATCCCTGGATTCCAAGTCTGCATGGTTCTTACTGCAGTAAGATGGTGGTACTTACATGCTTTGTTTATCTGGTCACGCAAATGTCTCATCTCCAAAACGCAGGGTCTGATTTTGCCATATGCTGACTAAGAAAGTGGTTTAAAAGGGCAATGTGTTCTGGACTGGGATTGTTTAGAGAGCCAAGGCCTATGCTGGGTTAGGAAAATAATCTCAGGTCACCTAACATCCCCATTTATACTCTTTTAGACTTTTATACCTTTAGAACCAAGAAAAAGCAGAATGCTGAGAGTGGTAAAAGGATAGGAAGAGAGCTGTGTGTTCTTACCTCGTCTGATGAATAAATATCATCTTAAAATAGTTTGAAAAAGCAGCGAGCACCGCTCTGTGGGCTTTGAAGTAAACATCTCCAATGGCAACTGTGCAGTCACACAGAAAGCCAAACTCCCGCTGCATGTTCAGCTGCTGGAGGAGGAGGACGCTGTGGCCGGTGGTATCCATGGTGTGCCTGGGAGCAAGGGAACAAGATGTTCATCTCATTAAGAAATCAGAGAGCTCCCAAAGGCTCAAATGTTGACTTCTCACCACCGAAAAGAGATGGACGCCTGGCATGGAATCTCTTCCCCTCCTCCAGATGGTCCCTGCACCCCAATGTAACAGTTTCTCCTTCCGATACCACCGCTGGTGCTCAAACCCACGACCAACGAGCTCAAAACCTCTCGGGGACTTTTCCATCTGCCAGCTACACTCAGAGATGCTTCTCCCGCTGATTAACTAAGCTCCGTGGGGTGTCAGCACTAACTTTAAACCTGGCTCGCCTTTTCCCTCTGATCTGGCGGTGCTTTCTCCTGCCCCGGAGCCGCAGCGGGGGCACGGGGGAGCGGGGCTGAGCCCGGCGGCTCCGGCACAGAGGAGCCCTGTGCGCCCAACAAAGCCCCCATTGTGCGGGCTGAGCCGCCCTCGCCCCGCCCCGCCAGCGGCCCCTGCGCAAATAAACGCCGATATTTGCTATTGTCTGGGCAGAATATTGTTGGGGG